TATCAAGACTCGATTATTGTAACTCCTTGTTAGCATGCATATCACTGGAGAAAGTTAAAAGACTTCAAACTGTCCAAAACAATGCTGCACGTTTAGTTTTACGGAAAAGAAATCGAGACTCTGCTAAACCTCTTTCACGGACATTGCATTGGCTTCCTGTTGAAAAAAGAATTGTGTACAAGTTGGCCACCCTATGTCACAAATGCTTAAATGATAATGGCTATCATATTTATCAAATCTGTTGAGACTGTATATTCCAACTCGCAGTTTAAGGTCATCAGCTGACAAAAAGAAATTTCTTTTACCATCTATGAAACTTAAAACAAAGAGTGAAAGGGCACTTGAATAACAAGGCCCCAATATCTGGAATGCTTTGCCAAGTACTTTAAGAAAAATTACATTTTTTTATTCTTTCAAATGTCAACTGAAGTCATTTCTGTTTTTAAAGTAATAGGTGAATATTTGGAGGGATTTTTTTTTGGTCAGAACACAACGTTTTATGTAACTGTTGTACACTGTATTGTATTGTAAAGCGCTCAGAGCCTGCGTACTTTAATCTGGTTTGAACGTTATATAAATGTCATTTATTATTTATAATAATAATAATAATAATAATAATAATAATAATAATAATAATAATAATAATAATAATAATAATAATAATAATTATTATTATTATTATTATTATTATTTTTTAATAAAAATATTATTATTACTATTATTATTATGTTTTACGGCACTCGCAAATGCAAAGGTCATATGAGAGTGTGGGACACATTTAACTCTTTCAGTTGGTGGGAAATTTTGAATTTTGTGCTGGTGGCGGCCAAAGCCTACTCTATCGATTTTAGACCACCAAGGGATCTTTAACGCTGGCATCTTGCACATGGGACCTCCGAGATTGTTCGCCCTTGTCCGAGAAGACTTGGTGTAGATCTTTCCTACCAAAAGATCAGGGGTGTGGCTAAAAGACAGCAGTAAGAAGGAGTCAAGGAGTAGCAGTAGAAAGGCTGCAGAAAGAGTCAGGAGCCCAGAGGAGGGGGCAAAGGAGGTGAGGGGGTGGGGGGCAGAAAGTGGAGACGAAAGCAGACATCAGAACATTGTTAGAGAGTAGGAAAGGAGGTGAAAGGATAATAATTTTTTTCCGGTCGCTACCCGGATTCGAACCCGGGACCTTGGAATGAGAGGCGAACACCTTAACCTCTAGGCCACGAGAGCCCCAGTAAAAGACCTACGCTTCTGATCTGTAACAAAAGAAAGACACAGAAGGTCATTCTTACCATTATCCATCAAATTTCTTTCATCCTAACCATCTTGTTATAAGTACATGTATTCATATGATCTTAGAGCATGCATCAGAATACCATTGAGTTCCAATCAGAATACTGAGTATGTATCTAGCTTTACATTATTATTCTTTATATTACTGTTCATTTACATTATGTATGTGACTGTAAACCTGCGTGTGTGTGTGTGTGTGTGTGTGTGTGTGTGTGTGTGTGTGTGTGTGTGTGTGTGTGTTTGTGTGTGTGTTTGTGGGTGTATATGTGTGTATGTATGTGTGTGTATGTATGTGTGTGTATGAATGTGTGTAGGTATGTGTGTGTATGTGTGTGTGAGTGTGTATGTGTGTATGTGTGTATGTGTGTATGTGTGTATGTGTGTATGTGTGTATGTATGTGTGTGTGTGTGTTCGTGTGTGTGTGTGTGTGTATGTGTGTATGTGTGAACATGGTGAAACATCAAACAAATGTTCCAGGTTGTGGACGATAAAGATGTGTTTGTGTATGTGTGTGGGTGTGTGGGTGTGTGTGTGTGTGTTTATGTGGATG